GTGAGTAATTAAAAAGACCTTATATATTTAACACAATTATAAATTGATAATAAGAACACAGTTTATTAGATTACTAAAAACTAAAATTATTTATTCATCCTGCGATCAATTGAATATGTATAACATAAATAAAATAAAAACAACTATCTCTACTTTATCTAATCATACTTAAACCAATATTTGATATCTTCAAGAAAGATACCGTTAATTTGTACAAAAGATCCAAGGTACTTAAAACTTTCAACCTGGCCTATAATTGCTTACTGTCATTAGCTATCTTGTCCTGTTTCTACAAACTCATACTCTGATTTTCTTCTACTTATTCTTAGTCTTTTTCTTTCAATCGCTACTCTCCATTCTTCAAGCCTATTGTTAACTTATTATAAATGTTCTCATATTGAATCTATATCATCTATAAACATCATGCACCAAATGCACCATGGTACTTCCTCTTACCTGTAATCCTGGCGTATATCCGGGATAGGACAATCCACCAAAGTCTTATTTAGAACTTCAAACAGATTTTATACCAGCTAACCACCTGACGCAATCCCACTTCTTGCCTCTTAGAACAAATATGGTACGGTGAGAGTATTCTGATTCCCTCTCAGAAGGAAAAAACAATTTTTATTCTCATAAAACCTAATAAAACCTTAAAATTCGAAATTTTCATATATATGACTTCAAAATTATGTTTAAAATTATATGACGACTATAAAAAAATATTATTAGCATTTTTATACAGTCTTCTATATACATAAAAATGAATGTTTGTCTGTTTGCCTTCCTAAACCGTTCATCGGATAGCTATGAAACTTTGGGAAGTGGTCGATTACACTCCCATGAAGGTTTCTGACATAATACATCAATGAAATTCTTCGATAGTTCCACTATCACCCTTAGAAACTGGGCTTTAGATACTTATGGTACGAAGATAAAATAATTTCTTTTAATTATAGGTTCCCTTGGTAATATACGGATGTAAATACAAATATTATTAGTTAACTGGGTTGTCATTGGCAAATTATTATTATGCCTAATGTATGTATTCTATGAGTGTATATATAGGTAACTATGTATTTTTTGATTGTAGAGAAAATGTTTAATTTTAATTGCCGACGAAAAAATCAATATTGTGTACACTTCAGTTCATGGGTAATATAAGACATACGTAAAACATTCGATATTATAAGACATACAAAAATATCCAAGAGACATACATAAAACATAAATATCTTCTTCGAATTTCGAATACACTGCATCGTCGAGAGTTATGCTCCCCAAACGGAAATCGATTGATCGATCTACATATGAAACACGAAAGAAAGAGGCTGAACGAGTAACGGACATCGAGATTAGAAAAGGAATATAATAGATAAAAAAAAAACGAATTGTCATTTTGATATCCGGGGCTAATCTTCGAAACTATTCATCCAATCGCTATGTTTTTTTTTGAAAAAAATGATACGCAATATATCGTGGAGAAAGTTTTAAGCTATTAAAATCATCAGTCTGATCAGTAGAATTAATAAACGACATAACTTGCAGTAGTTTGGGCTGGATAAAAAAAATCAGGTATTTTCTATTACTTAGCAACCACATAACTAATTTATACAAGTTTGAAAATAAAAATAAAGAAAATGCATTTTTAAACATTTAAGTCCAACAACGGTTAACTCCGATTTCAATCTCCTTCACTATTACTGCAATAGTGACAATATTACATAGATAATTTACAATAAATAATAAGTAATAGTTATTAAATAATGCAATGTATAACACAAATTTTTTGTTAAAATTTAAGTATGGGCATACGTAAAGAAATTGAAAAATATAAAAATCAACCTTTGATTTAAGTCTCCTCAAGTTAAAAATTAACGGTTTTCGAGTACTTTCTTTTTAACTGTTGTACATCAGCGCCCCGAAAAACAAATACTTTCTTTTAGTAAAACTATAATAATATAATGCTATTGAAATAATAAAAATGTTGTCTGGGTTTGTTTGTACACTCATCATATAAAAACTACTGAATAGAATGCAAATGATTCATTTTATGTTTTTTACAAAAATACTTTGTTGGGTAAGAAACCCCTATCGCCATATCCATGGTTACATTTCAATTTTGGACTTGTTTTTTTAATTCGTCTAACTTTTTACTTTGGGCGATTGATCTCATAAATCACTGCAGTAGCGATTATATTATTAGGTTACTAGGTATTTTATATGGTTTTCACTGGCAATAAAAACATATATTGTGGAAAATAGACACCCCTAACAACTATATAAAATAACCACGGGGGTATAAACGTGGATATATTATGTAAAATTATGATTTTTTTTTAAATTGTATTTTTCGCAAATCCAACAGAACCTCTACAACGCCGGGTTACAACAGCTGGTTAGATAACTACACCATCATACGTGTAAAAAAGAATGCAGGTATAAAACGGGTCTAATTTGGAAGATAATATTTTGATAAATGAATAAAGATGGCTTGATGATTTAGTTTGAGGCAGGAGAGACATTTAAAGGGCGAATGAATCGAAACAATAAAAATACCCTACTTTGAGTACGAGTGGATACATATTGTTCTTAGTTTAGCGGTTTAGAATTAATGTAATTTATTATATATTATAATATTGTTTCACGTTGTGTTGACACGAAAACGGAATAGACTGATTTCGACAAAACCCGGCCATGAGTATTCGTAAATATTCTAGTTTTCATCACACTCTCAATCGCCCCCCCCCCCCTACTACCTTTATAGTAAGCAACGTAAGCAGGGAATATTAAAAAAAAAAAAAAAACGGCAAAAAAGACAAAATTAAGGTACTACCAGAAACCCTCCTCAATGTGCGGACGATCGGAGTGGGTCTTCGATTTGAAAACTAGTTCACAGATAAAACGAAAAGCACACTTTATAGTGGTGTCCCCATAGGCCATAGGGTATACTACTCGTACATAATATGAGCCATACACTCTCAACATTTTGTAGATAAATCACCGTTTTAGTCTTGAATAGTATAAAAAAAACTACACCACTAACTATTGTTGTAACCGACCAATCTTCAGGATAATGGACATTGCCAACAAATTCCCATAATTTGTATTTTGTTCCATATAATAAAACTCAATATGTTTAATGTTTATGTATAATATACAATATATATTTCATTTGTAAATAGTCTGTATTTTCTGATTTTTTCCAAGTATTGGGAAAGTAACTCAAGCTTAATAATTTATTGAAAATTACATCTAAAGCAGCTGTGCAAGTACTGAGCTACAAGATTTCAAAAATATAGCTGGTATCAACCCCAGTTTTTTGCAAGAGTGTCTAAAGAATTTAAATTTCTATAGTAATGATTATCGAACAGGTATCTACGCACTGTTATCAGTGTTATCATTTGCACTTTAAAATATTATTTAATAGCTAACCGTTTGAAAAAAACAAAATCGGACAAAATACGAAATGTTCAATATATAATATTTGAATTTACTATTTTCTTACTAGTATAGCTTATTATCTTCCTACAATATCGTTATGTTCATTTAAAACAATTTTTTCCAACCTGACTTCTTATGAGGATGTCAGATAAGACCAAATATCGAAAAACTTGTAAAAATTCATCAAAATTGACAATACAATAACTAATTTTGAATAAAAATAATAAAATAAATTATTATGTTGCACAATTTATATTTTATAATCATTTTACATACACAACGTAATCAAAAATAGGTATCGTTCTTTAGGCCAGAAAAAAAAAGTTGGACGTAAGATTTTTGAAAATCTACTAAGTCTTGGAATAAACAGAAAACCCACGTAAGCTTAGCTTTAAAGTTGAAAATTAAAATTTTAAAGTAGTCAAGTTTAACTTTAAGGTATAATCAGTCAATATCGAAAAATAACTACCAGTGTGTGATTAGAGTATTATAAGATAATAATATAACCTCACCATCAACGCAAGACAAGCGCAATTAAAACTGCATCTTCTGAAATATAAAATAATAATTCTATTTCTCAAGAACCATAGATCTTCACGTAACTGTAATAAGACACTGATTTTATATACTAGGTATGTAAAGGATTCACTTTGAAATTTCGTGGTAATAATGTTACCATATAAAACAATGAATTAAATAATTTACCACAACCTATATTATTATACTTACTATTACAGTAAACCAACAATTGTCGCACAATATTTTCGCTACCAAATGGCAAGTATTTTCATATTTTCTGCTATTGTAAACTACTATTTACCATTTTATAGACATACTTACAATTTTTAGGTAATATTCATTTTTTTTTTTTTTCACTATATTATACCTGCCGACATGACAAATAAATGATACTGAATAAATGTAAAAACAAAAAAAAAAAATCGATCAAATTAAGATGTATTTGTGTATCTTTCTTTTTGACTTATTCGGTGATATTTTTGACCTGAAATTTTTACGGGTGCAATATTAAAACGCTTGAATCGTTTTTCTGAATTGTCGATGGAATAGAACGTTATTATTATTGCGTACAAAAAATATTATCACGGAGTTTTGGTTGCCGCCCAAAACGGTCGGCGCACACGTGCGTAATGTCAATTGTCGTATTGTTTTTTTACGGTGCGGATATTCCTGTACCCACACATCACAGTCGGTGAACATCGGATTCACGTCCGAAACCTCAAAACGCGGAGCTATCGATCTCGTACACGATTGTCCGGATCCGCAAAAACCACTACAATACGTATACTGTACGCGCCGTCCAGATCGTACGTGCATATCTCAATAACGCTCCGCAGTATTATATTATAATGTCATTATGATATCGTGTGTTGAACGACTGCTGGGGGAGGAGATGCGAGACGAGGACCGTCAGGCGCGATCGTATAAAAACGGAAATCGCCGGACGTCCGTCGTCCATTCGCCCGCCCGCCCGCAACCGCCGCCCGTCACGTTATCATTGCGATTAACCAACACGATAACAATCAATTATCGTTATCATGGCGTCTGCACATTTGGGCGAGTCCGCGCGCTACGTCCGGATCGTGTTGCTGTCCGCGGCGTTCGCGTCACGCGGCGTATCCGGCGACCGTCCGGTGGCCGACGCGCTGGACGACGGCGAAAAGTGCGCGGGCACGTCCGACGCGTGGCCGTGTCTGAGGGGCGCCGGTTCCCGGGCCGCGGACTCCGTGCTCGGGTTCCAGGGCGACATCCCGCTGTTCGGCTCGTACTTGACCGTGGTGCACCGGCCGGGACGGACGCCGCGGACGGAGACGCCGGCCGGAAACGCGTCCGCCACGTCGGTGTACTCGAAACTGTTGGACTTCGCGGAGAGCCGGGCGCTGCGGGTGCTGCTGCCCGTCGAGTCGGTTGTCCGGCTGCTGGTCGGCCCGGATGACCGGACGTCCGAGGCCGAAGGGCGGGACAAGAAAAACAAAGGCGGTAGCGCCGGTGTACTAGCCCTGGGCGGTATGATGTTGATCACCACCCTGTTGTCCGCGGCGTTCGGTGCGTTGGCGTTGTTGGCCTCCAAAGCTCTAATGACCAGCATACTGGCGCTGATGCTGTCGGCCATGGCGGTCGTGAAAAAGTCCGGTGGCGGCCATCACGCTCACGCCAGGACCACGTACGAGGTCATCAACGGAATTCCGAGCAGCTACCACCAGGCGACCAACTTCAAACTGGAGGACAGTGCCGTTATCCCGGACGTGAGTTCATGAATTAGTTATTAATTAACGGCGTAAATACAGCGCGGCGATTCGGTTACGGTTTTCGTAGCATTATAAGATTATATCGATTTCAAACACACCAAATCGTGTCACGAAATAGTTTCTGATAGACGATTTTGACTTATCAATGAAAGAGGCGGAGGTTACTTTTTAATTTATATTGTAGTTTTGAATTGTTCGAGAAAATCGGATAAAGAACGTAGGGAAAATGTCTGCAATAACGGTTTGTGTTATATTCTATTTTGTTTCCTTTGTTGTAAGCGAGTTAAAAAAAAAAACAAACCGTATAGACTTAAAATGTATACCGAATATATTAGCTCTTCCTAGACGTGATTTTCAAACTATTGTGGCTGTATTTTGAGGTATTTATACGTATAGCCATTTGAAATTTGATATCAGGTTTAAAAAAAAAAAAATGCGCGTTAATTATTAATATGGTTGTGCAAGCGTTTTATGTTTAAATTTTGACGAGAATCTTATAATGGTAATTTTATTTTTACGGACGGAAGCGGAGAAATGTACGCTGGACTCGTTAGATTTGTTGACAGTTCATCATATTACAAACAGAATTTATAATTAATTGCAGGTATGCATAAAAAAAAATTAATTCATTAATTCATTTGTCTGTTTATAATACTATATTTTTATGTTATTATAGTGTTTAAAGAGTCTATATTGTGTAAATCTTATACTATAGACTCTATAGTATAAAGTCTTTATAAATAGGTAGTGATATTATTTTTCCAATGCCACGATATTTTATCTATTTCAAATCGCTGTAGTACATCTTGTTAATGCACTTGGTCTGTAATGATTTTACATTTTGAAACCTAACACAAATTAATCGTGTTCGGCGAATTGCGTCTCAAATATGTTCATCGCCAATAGGTGAATTTTATCTATTATATTATTATGACGGTTCTGCTTCGACCTACAAGTGTAAGTCAGTGTAACGCCGAAGAACATCCAGAGAAGTTTTATTTTCAATATCTTCCATGCGCGTGTACGTTCCATATGTAATAATTTCGTTTCAATAGTTGAATATAATTTTTGTTTTTTTCTTTTACGGCGAATGTCTGAATGAACGAATAGAATGTTTCTAAAACAGTTTACAAATCAGTATTTACAGTAATATATCACGTAAGACGGGCGAATGTGACAACGGCGTAGGGTATTAGGCCATGTGGCAGTTTAACACGAGGATGGTCGACCCCACGGGATGACAGTGAAAATAAAAATGAATCAGAAATGAAAAAGAAGACAAGTGTCAATCGGTGCGATTGTAAACGTAAAGTGGGCCGGTTCTATAATTTGTTAGTAATTCTGCATATAATTTTTCTGTATACCAATGTCACATTTCCGCTCGTTGATTTTGAATGTACATCGTTTCCATTTACCCGGCTTGACTGTCATAATATTATACTGACGAACGATGTTTTGTTCGAACGAACGAAACGAACGTTGTTTACATCGGAAAAGATTGGGGGAAAAAAACCCAAACCCTCCGAGGACCGTTGAATCGCAACCGGGAAGTAAATATCGTTCGTAGCGTCGATATTGTGTAAAACCATTTATAGGTAGAGACCGGGGAGGGGGGGGAGGGATTCGCCTGGTCGGCGGAGATATCGCAGGGGACGCAGTAACGATGTATTTGTTCACCTAACGCCAAATCAATATTATAATAACGGAATTGTTATTATTGTTGTTGTTTACAGATCAACGCTCAATACGGCACCGGCCAAACCGAACCCGTCCAATTCGCGAACCAGCAGTACGATTGAAAAACAACATAAAACGTTTATACTATAAATATTTTAACAGGTAATTTTGGCGGGGGGGTGTTTTTTTTTTTATTATTATTTTTTTTTAAACATTTTTTTATAAAAATCGGGTTCATCGCCGTCGCGAATAATAACACTGCAATAGGTGTTCATTTTATTTTTTATATAAAACTATTTACTTTTAGAATACGCGAGTGTACAATATAATAAAATGTCTCGGTCCGATCTGGTATCGAAACAACGCGACAATAGAAAAACGATTTATTTTTCATTTTCCCTTGTCGATGATGGCTGTATATATTTTCGTTTTCATTCCATTAAGATCATTACGTTGCCCTTGCGATGCGCGTGCCCCTTGGAACTGTTGCCGGACGGTCTCCAATTCGCGGACACCAGAAACTTGGCGACGAAAGTGAACACGAACGCTTTGACCAACGCCGCGGTTATCGCGTTCAAAATGGCGAACAGTATTACGGAAGCTGCGACGGCGCTCCCGCCGATCATCAGGACCGCCGAGGTGGTTTTTCTTTTTTTCTTTTTCCCTCTGGCTATAATAGACAAACAACAACAAAAAAAAAAAAACACGGTTTCGGAATAATTTGTCGTGCAGTGAGAAAAGAAAAACGACAAAAAAAAGTAGTAATTTACATATTATTTTTGTACAATTATCAAAAATTATACAATATTACGGTCGTAGTTCGACCGATATTAACTATCCCGAACATACGAGGCTAAACGAGTTAATGAAGTTGACGTATTAACGTAGTTAATTATAAAATTAATTGAAAACAAATCAACGAGTTAACACGTTAATACAGTTAACTATTGTTTTTCGAATTAAACGGTTCGAGTTGAAAGTTAATTTAAAAATTTAATTTAACCTATTAACTCAAGTTAATTTCACGGTGAAATTAATTGACATCATGGATTTTTTATTTTGTTTAAATAAGGATGATTAATTTTAAACATAACCACTCAGCTACGCAGAGGGTTATGTACTCGTGTATACTCAGCTTCTCCTGGGAGATCAGGACACAACGGACGATTTAAAAAAAATGATTATCTGTTATACACGGTAGTATAAAATATGATTACCATAATATATAGTGTTAAAAACTCAGAATTCAAAGGAAATTAAAATAACTTAAAGTGGTAAGTATAGTTCAAAATTCACATTCGTTATTCATTAAATTAATGAAAACAAAAACACTGCTATATTAAAAAATCAAAAAATCAGTTCAAAATTAAAATTAACTTTTTTAACTTGTTAATCGCAAATGTCTACGGTTCTTCAATAAGTCTGAACGTTTGATTTTATAACGAACACACCGCGTTCGATCATATCTTAATGACAATACGAGTAACCGAATTATATTTATAGCATTATTGTGACGTCATATTTATTAAAAACACATACAGTGTCCCACGAAAATGTGATCATTGCGACACCTTGGAATGTTTTTTGCACTAGGTATTCGTAGGTAACCTGTGTCGCTCCCCTATTCTTTCCCTGACCAAACTTAAAAATGAAATATCCATTCAACGGGTTCAATCGGAAATTAAAAAAAAAAAAAACACCAAAATGTATTCATTCTAATACTGCGTATAATATTTATGGAATTTTCAACATAGGCTGTCGTTCGTAAACGAACAAAAGTAGGTACACAGTCGGTTCGCCCGTGAAAATAAAGGCGACGAAAAACAACGGTAATGTAACACATTGCACAACTGATAGTTTCTTAAATTATATCGAAAAAAAAAATAAAATACAAAAATTTCCAAGGTACCGCAATTGTCGTATTGTTATTGTTGTGTACCGGGGAAACTCTATGTTATTAAGAGGACGGTACACATGCATTGATAGTTGTTACGAGTCTTTCAACAGACAGTCTTACGCAGACTACACAGAACTGGTTTAATTTCGGTTTTAGAGTAAAAACACGTATTGTAAAATCGAAAAGAGAACAATATTTTGCAGGGCAGAACGTAACGTTTTTTCCATTTTTTTTTTCCGAATGTAACGGTTAATTTACCGTTTATGAATAACGATTTTTTCGACGTTTTTTTAACTAGCTAAAACTTTTTTAAAAATTACTTTTTCAATAAGCATTAAGGTCTTGCCCCCCGGACTATTGTTCTCTGTTAGTTTCATAATGGGGGGGGGGGGCGCTTTTACTCTAAAACCAAAACTCGGCGAATTCTGCGTAGTCTGCGTGAGCATGTTTTTATTACTATTTCTCGTGTTTGTAAGACAGTAACGAAAAAACGAACGTGTAACGTGCTCTTAATGTTACATTTGTTTTTGTTCTCCACACGTTTTTTTTTTTGATCGCGATAAAAGACTAATGAAATAAATCCGTACCTTGGGCGATGATCGCGACGGCCGGCGGCCGCGACGGAATCGGCAGTGACGACGGGAGAACGGCCGTCACGGCGGCGGCGGCGGCGGCGGCGGCGGTGCCGTCGAGACACGGCGAACCCGGTCGATGGACGCCGTGCGCCGCGGCGACCGGCGACGACACGCGAAACAATAATAGCGTAACGGCGTACGTCCAAAAACGTCTCATCGTCTGCGCGGTCGTCGTCAAACACGACGCGATGTATTGACGACGATGCGCGATCGGCCAGCGTTCGCGGGCCGTACGCCGCCCGCGAAATCGCGCGCGGTTTTGCGGTCGGCGGAGGCGTCATGGACGTCCGAACATGTAGGCGACCGAAAATATCGAAATATCATCACGACACCGGCGCGGGGCCGCCGTTCGTTAATTTCGCGCACCGCCTGGCACCGAGCCGCCGCGATGTCGCGGTCAACAAACGCAATTATTACTGTGCTCGCACGATCGGGCGACTGCTGGAAAAAGAAAACCCCGACACCGAAAGTTATATAAACCGGGCGCGTCCCGTACGACCGTCATCAATTGGCGAGTCACGCACACGGTGCCATGTCGTCCGTAGTAAAATGGTCGTGTCTCCTGGCGCTGGCGGTCCTGCTGTTCGACGCCGGGCCCGCCGTCGGGTCCGCCGTTCCGCGCGCGCCGGTCGCGGCCGGGGCGATCGGGTCCCGGCGAAACGACCCGCCGTGCGCGACCGCGACCGAAGGCCCGGCGACGTGCCTGTTCAAGGGCCTGCTGAAAAACGCGCTGCTGTACGCGACCCGCCGCCGGCAAGCACACGACACCGGCGGCGCCGGCACCGCCTTGCGTCCCAAAGGCATCGAGGACTACCTGTTCGACCAGATTCAAAACCTAATTGGACTGTTCTCGTTCGGTTTCGAGTTGCCCGCCGAAGTCACGGCCCCGTGGACGATGCTCAAGTCGTCGTTGTTTAACGGTAAGTGTCGTGTAAACCGAACGGACAATACGGGAAATGAATCTATAATATTGCAATTGGAATTCGAACGTCTCTAGCGCCCGTCCGTCTACATGTACCGGGTGGTCCATTTAGGCGGGCACACTCATTGTCTTGGAAATTATTGACATTTTTCGGAATTTGTTTTCTAGAACACTTAAGAAATAAGCAGCTCTACAGTTTTACATTTTTTTTCACCCTTATTTTCGGGGGTAGGACGACTGCCAGCTACTTTTGATTTTCAAATGGCAACCTATGTTAAAAAAAATCCATAAACAAATGCAACATTAGTTTAAATAAATTTCGATGTTGACATTTTTGATTTCCGTCAAGCCGTTAACGAGATATTCCGCTTTCAAGTTTGGATCGTATGAGAATAGTGGTGCATTATTAACACGCCGTCCGCCGTACCGCCATTAAGAATTAATGTAATTAAAATAAAGAATAATCCGTATCAATTTCGATAAAAATGATTGCAGCGAATTTTATGAGCTGCTGAAGATATTAATTTTAATTATAAACAATATCATGTACGGTACAGTTTTATAAATTACTACCAGAAGAATTATGAAAAAGACATATTATTTCAATTTCACAAAACACATATTTTAACCAATTACAGCAAAATAAATAATCAATAGCTAAAATACACCTTACCCGCACATAGTACCTATTGTAATACAATAAGACAAATTACTAGCAAAACATAAACATAACACTTTTCTACAACCTCTTCTGGATTTATCTGTCTATAAGTATAATTTACAAAATTCGATAAAGTTAATAATTAGGAATACCATTTATCGTAGCAATTAAATAAAGCAATGAAATAAAATTTAATTTCAAGAAAAAATACATAAATTTAATGGGCGAAAATTTGACATTAGAAAAAAAAATTATAAACGAAAAATTCCGAAAATTGACTTGAGCCTTTCCCCCCCCCGATACCGAACACAAGAGTTCTAACATTTTTTTTGACTAGCCGTTTTGTGAATTCCTATAATGTGTCAACGACGCTGTCCCAGAAATACGAGTACAACCGTTGAACTACTATACGTTTTGTTTTTTTCCACTGTAGGCCGAGGAAAAAAGAACAAAAACATGGGTCCCATGTTGGCCGCCGGCGCGGCCATGATAGTCGGCACGTTGATGCCGCTGGCGTTCGGCGCTCTCTTCATGTTGGCAGGTAAAGCCATAATGACCAGTATGCTGGCCATCACCATATCCGGCATGCTGGGCCTGAAGACGATGTTCGGCAAATCGGAGTCCGTCCAGGCGGTCAAGTCTCTCTCGGCGCCGGCGCACCCGCTGCACTATAACTCGGAGGCGCTTTACGAACAGGAATCGACCGCGTACCGCAACAATAAGGGACAGACCGAGGCGAAAGTCACAGATTCCGGGACAGACTTCTTCGCGGGCGAGTCCAACACCAACGTGCACCGGGGCTATTACAACGATCCGAAACAGACGCAGCAGAGCCGTGGCGACGGACCGAATCGACCGCAATGGGACGTGGCCAACTCTGCAAAATCCATCAGCAACGACGGAGACTTCAACAAAATCACGGCGGAGAAGAACGACGGCGCGTTTTGACGGATTATAACGAATTAATTATTTAGGGATGTAAAAAATTTAAAAAAAAAAGGGGGGGGGGTGAAAAACAAAACACTATAGCGTATTTTCAACGCGATCGTAATATATTATTTATTTGTACATAAAAAAAAAAAAGAAAAGAAAAACTTATGTAATAAACATTTTTATAGAAAATATTATGTTTGTGTTCGTTATTTCGGCTTGAACGTTTGTCCTGAATCGGGGAAGTAAATTCTCGTGACGTCGTGACCGTCAATCGCGCGCACGAATAGACCGTTCGGGAACATTTCGGACCGACCCTCCGGGTACATCATTTTGCCGGCGTTTCTCCTGTCCCAGCTGGTCACGGACCGGGTCGATTTGATTCTGGCCTGGTAAAGCTTCGGGGCGGGAAACGCGGTCGGGAACAGCCAGTGAAAGAACGCGTAGAAGCGGCTGATTTTTGCCACCGGTGACGACTGATTGTCATCGTCGTCGTCGTCGTCGTCGTCGTCGATGTCTCCGGAGTCTAAACAGCACGAGTCGTACGAATTTTCGTCGATATCTCGGTCGTCGGTGTCTTCGTTTTCGAGTTCGGTGCGATCGGTCAAATTCCTGCAGCTCTTGCTCGGCAAGTAACTGAGAGGAAAAAAATATCGTTTAATCAATGTCGGTCCATGCGTTTAAAAACAAAATGCCATGGACATCACCGCGATTTAGGGTCGGAATGAGTCGGTGTCACCGGTCGATAATATTTCGATTACCAACCTTGGGATTTCGCGGCAACGCTGGTAGATATATTGTCACGGTATGCTAAGTTCACAAAAGCGATTTTCAGCGACATTTCGATAATCGTCAAGTAATTTGTGTATGAGTTTACCCGCTCACGCAATTATTAATGACAAATTGTCATATTTTATTAATTTTCGATTGTAAATGAAGCGAAGGAGCTCATGGTTTTACAACGGTGTTTGTTATTATTTTTTTTAATCTTTGAATGACTTTTCTACCCGAAATATTGGTCCGTTTCACAAGTTTAGCATTTTTTTGAAAGGAAATCTGACTGGGAGTGATATTTCGGAGGGGTCACTTTTTTGATTTTCTCAGGAGTTTTCTTAATTTATTGGAAAAATCGGAAAAACAACTGGGAAACGTACGAAATGTAGGTATTAGTTGACAAATATTACTGCTTTTTTTCTCCCCTGTGAATAACTCAATCGCATTCACCAAATCTGTTTTCCTAAGTTCATTTTCGTTACAGTTATCACTGCACCGGGTTTCTCTCTTCCCGTCTCACATGTCCAAACCGCCCCAGTGTACCGCGTAAAATATTTTTATTAGAACACCTACGTATACACGAAAACGGGGAGGAGGGCAAACGAGTCACGAAATTGTTGAGTTACCGGCGGACACCGTCGCGAGTTGTAGTGTTCTTCGCGCCGCCGCCGAATTTTCCACTTTTTCCGTTCGCGGTGATCCGGCAACGTCCGGTGTCGTGGTCGTGTGATACGCGCATGTTCGGCTGCGAACACGATTTCCATTTATGCGGGTTTTTCGCACGGTTCGCCGGTGTTTTCAACAACGCGATATCAGTAAAACCGTCGTTTTTATGTTTTATATTGGCCATAGTACCCATGCAATTCGATAACAAATGCTATGCTATGCTATTGTATCGTCACTACCGCACCGGCGTTATCTGATCGCCGGCACACTCTGTTTTATCAAACGGAACGGTCGATTGGCAATGTAATGTTATAGCAAGTAATAACTACAACGATAATTTCAATATCGACAACAATAATAATATTCTATCGACCGTACGGTCCGTTTTGTTATTTCTATCGGAGATGATACGGAATTTCCCACGAAGACGTTGTAGCCAGCGCAGTATCTAATGGTTGTGTTTGTTTTCGAAGACGGCCATTTTATCGACTTTATATTATTCTGCGGGAAATGTTGACGTTTCGATTTTTTTTATTTTTTTTTGATTTTCGCACCGTGTCCTCGTTAAAGACAATAGCGAAAACATTGCGCGTTTTCGAACGTGGGCGAGCCGCTGTTGTAGGGGACAAGTTGGGAGAGCAGTAGAGCAGGCGCGCCATTTGGGGTACCGCAATGTATGCATATTGGCGGCCGCGTTTTTTTCCGTATCGTATTGGCCCGCCCCGATTTCACGCTCGCGCCGGTACGTACGGCTAAAATGCAACTGCGACATTTTAAATTAATATTTATTATAGTTCACATTACTTGACAGTTTGTAAATTTATAATCACGGTTTAAAATTCAAAAGTATATTTACCGCCGTCTTATTGACTACTAAAATTGTGATATTTATTCACGGATTGAAATAGTACTATCTTTAATTTGTTATACCTGTTGTCGGCGTTATTACTTTAAAATGTTAACGTTCACATTCAACGGCATATTATTGGACGCGTGTTGCATCGAAACGTGACACAACACAGAGGACCTCTATTAAAACTCGATTCTGTAACTGGATGATGTAAGTATACCGTTTTGATCGTGTCTACCAACACGCCAACACGTTAACGAGGCTACCGTAGAGTTGAATAAATTCCACTATACCGGCCGTGCTGGTCACCTCCCAGATTGCAAAAATATATTTTATTGATATTTATAAAATATTATTTTTATAATGGAATGATTGATAGAATTGTTTATTTTTCCATATTTTCGATTTTAATAATATTTAGGAAATGTTTATGAAATAACGGTTGACCACGAGATATTCGTTTATTAACTATTTTACAAATTATAGTTTTCTAACTTTTTTTTTTTTTAATAAGACAATTTGCAAAAGCCTTAACTAACCGAACGCCCTATCCATTAGACTAACTACCCAATTGTTAAAAAGTTGATTTTATGAGTATATAAGTTATTAAGTAAATTTGAAAATATTATAATATAGGCATACCTATTTATACATGGACATATGGTAATTGCGGACTTTTAACTTCCTTTGATTAGTGCACCCAGTGCCTGGGGGATGGTAGAGGAGGCGTGCCCCCCTCGCGTTTTTTTTGTTTATTGGTTATTTCGGTGTATTTTTTCGTTCCACAAAATAAAGTGACTTAAATGAAAAACGATAAGTGCCCCTCCCCCCCCCCAAAAAAAAAAAAAAAAAAAATTGGCTACGGTACTGTATTATATATGTAATGTAATGACTAGATACAATAACAACAAAAATTGAATTTAACTGCCAACTATATACCAAATTTGAAATTATACGTGGTGGTGGTTTCAGTTACAGTATTGAATATAGTTAATCAAAAAATAATTACTGGAATAAATTAAAAATCGTATTGTGACGCCGCGCGAATTTAACTCTGATGAACGCTTACAAATCGAACGATGAAAACGTTTCACGAAATATATAAAAACGAATTGAACCCGCTGTAATCATCGTACTGTTGCGTTTATCTATGGCCCCAAAACCGGCGCACAGTTGTTATTGCAGACGGACCGTAATGATTTTTTCGGCATTTCGTGTCTCACCCGTGACGGTTTCCGCGCGATATTACATTCGATTCCGAAGGCGCGTTAAATGCGGAAATTGAGATGGCTCGGTAGCTCGGTGTTTTTTCGTTTCTTCTTCTTTTCTTTTTTTCGTTTTTCATTTCGCCGCCGTAATATCTGTACATGCAATAAAGATGACAGTCGGTGTTTCCGTCCCCGACCGTCGACGCACCGCGATAACCGCGGCCCGTAGTGCCGGGGGTCCGCGACACCCGTACCGAACGCCATCGTTTAAAAAACCGGGGGGAAAAAAAACCGCAACGCCGTCGGTCCGTACGCGCACGCCGCGCGGTTGTGTTTGTACAACGTGTTTATCGTTAACCGGCCGGCGTCGCGGCGGTCTAAAGACGTATAAATTGTACGGCGCAAATTGCTGTATGACGCGTCTCGTGTTAAACGCTAATACAATTCCGCTTGTATGAAACGTGCAATATAATTGCGTACAACAATTCACTACCGACGTCACTGTTCACTATTGACCGAGTTTTTTTTTTTTTTTTTTTTTTTTTCTAGATTCCGATGTCTGTGTGTTTTACCACGATTTGTGTGTGTGTGTGTTTTTTCTGTCCGCGAACAAATTTTCTACCGGCGGTTTCGCTCCGATTCACAACAACAGCACTCAAAGGAAAACTGACTGACTGAGATACATTAAAGGGGTGAAACATTTATGATTTTCCCAGAAGTTTTTTCCAACAAATGGGAAAAACCGTAGGAGAAACGGGAAAATAAGTACAATATTAAACAAATATTGATTAAAGAATATATATATATGATGCGGTATTTAATTATTTCACCGCAATATGACGTACATATTGTTGACCAAACATCACTATAAACCCAAACACCGCTCAGAATCGTTTTTTCGTTTACCGATGGTTTACAATACGATATTATGGATGCGTTTTGTAATTATCAGGTATGCAAATTATTTCGCAACTACGTGTACCGTGGTCTTGCAGTTATTATTTACGCTGACGGGGTGATTCGGACGAATATTACCGAAACGCACTTGACGGTCTCGGCACATCGGCCAAAAATATTTTGGATTCTGAGCGAAGCAATTACGCGATAATTCTCGATGCGATATTTTCCGTTATAGGTTCTAGGACGAAACAGAGGGAATAGGCGGCTAGGGCGGCAACAAAAAAATATACACATTTCGTTAAATACAAATGATAAAAAATAATAATTACGTTCAATAAATACGAATGTCCAATAAATACAATAGTGATAAATAAATTACACGCAGTGCGATGCCGTCGTCGAGTGTTCGGACCACGATCGCGGACCGCCCAAGATTACGCATTTTTTTATACAAAACAAAAAGGGAACAAACACAATGTAGGCTAAAATCTAAATAAAAAATATAAAATTGTTGGTATTTTTTTCTACGATAATATATCATCGATAGAATATCAGTATCGGCACGCGTCCTACGGAAACTGTTGAATGTTTTTTCTTTTTTTTTTTTTTTTTAAATTTATGCTTCGATACAACGTGACGATAACGGAATTAAAACGCGGCACCGTCATTTTCTGAAAACGGGATAAACGGACATAGTATATAACGCTCAGAAAATGGGACAGTCATCCTGTTGTTTAACGGAACGTGTACGGTCGGCGGCCCTTGTAGCGTAGACGGGCGCGGTCTCAGGTTTGTCGTCCCGCGATCGCCTCGGTAGGGACGACCGGCAGACCGTAGGCCAGGCTGTGGGCCAGTGACGAAGAACGTCCGTGCGGTCCGTGGCCGCCCGCGGACGGCACGTTGATCACCTCGTACGTGGTGCCGCTGTGACTGCCGCCGCCACCGCCGCCGCCGCCCGACGCCAGTTTCTTCAGCGCCAGTATGGCGGCCAACATGAGCGCCAGCATGCTGGTCATCAGCGCCTTGCCGCTCATTATCGCCAACGCGCCCAGCTTGATGGGCAACAGCGTGCCGGCCACCATCATGGCGCCCATCAGCAGCGGTCCCGACATCTTGTCCTTTTTCCCACGTGCTGAAAACATGAATGGTAGTTGAAATATTAAAATAATAATGTGTAACTGTAGGGCTGTGAATTCAATGCACTGAAATTTTTTTTTAATATTTATTTTTCGAAAACCGATTAACACAACTTAGAAATCAAAATCACAAGCAGCGTGTTACATCGAATCGCGTCAAAGACGTTCAATTCGGGGGTTTTCCTTGCGGTGGCGGACTGGGGTGCCCGCGGTCCAGTGGACGAGGTTAATGGCGGCCAAACGACTTTTGAAAACAAACGAGCGGGTTCCATTTGAGAAAAAAACATTTTTCCATTTGCCCACCAGACCTGCAGTTTCAGGACTTGATTTCAACTTTTAACTCCGGCCACCCGCATATTTTGAGTCCTACAATTTGGTTTCTCCCCCCCCCTCCCCGGAAAGAAGTAAAAAGTAATAGATCTTTTAAAAAACTAACTACTTAAGAGTAAAGTCAGTACTACTCAATACTACCTAATAAAAAAAAATTAACCAGCGTCATAATACATTTCAGAATTCAGAAATTGACAAAGAGCATTCCACGAACGTAGAAAAACCGAGATAATAGCGTGTTGTTCAATGATAATATCCGCTGTAATAGGTCAGTGGTCGTTTAAGTTTAACAACTCTCTAAAAATAAATAAGCTTGAATAACAATCCGTCCCCATGCGTTCCTCTTTGAAAAAAAGTAATATGGATACGTTTGAATACCTCAAAAAAATTACTATGCGCGGTATACGTACTTAATTAGAGGTTTTTTCCGAAATCATTACGAGTATTAAAAATGAAAAACATAAACTTAGTCCACTTTTGCGAAATGAGTTACGTTTTCAAATAAAAAACAACTGTAATTTTATTCCCCCTTTCGACTTATCGTTTTCCTTACTGCCCTGGCCTAAGAAATAGCGTGTTCTCATATTGTACGAACATTATCGGCGGTTTTGATTTTATTTCAATAACGAGATTGTTTTATGGCATACTCGCGCCCGTCACACACGGCGGATATCGTTTGCGAAGGAACGGGCGAATAAAAACCCACGAGTGTATTGTATACCGATATGTATCATTTTTTTCACGTTTAATTAATGTCACGGAAACCACAGAAATCGGTTTTACAGGATAGTTTTTTTTTTTTATTTATTTACCTTTAACCGACGACGACGTTATAAACTTATTAGTACCGTTGGTTTTTCGAGCGTATAATAATAGACGGAATTCGAATCAGAAAACTTGTCTACAAAATATGTAATTGCGAACGTTAGAAACAATTAATTACCATAATAAAGGTTTTTTTCCCCTAGCCGAAAGTATCCATTACCATGGAAAGAAACAAATTCAAAACGTATCGAAACATTCAAATGTCTAACCATTAACAGCCAAACGATTTTGAAAATTACATAGTAGTAAATACTAACGTGAAAATTGTTTAAACATTTCAATCGCGAGTATTTCTTACGAAAAAAAAAAAATAATAATAATAATAATAATTTTCACAGCGTCTCAACGTAAATGTTTCCGGTTTCTGAGGTATTTCTCAACGTTACAGAGAAAAGTATAAGAAGTTTCGAAAAATTACGTTTTTCACATTCTAGGAGATCCGATATTTATGCAAGAGAGCGTTTAATTGTGTACGGCACGGCTTCTGGTTGAGAGAAAACGCATCTCGGTAAAATAACCAATACGCTTAAAAAAAGAAAAAGGAACGAAAAACGACGGAACACATTGTGTTGTTCAAAGAGTGGTCGTCGTTACCTTCGGCCAGCGCGTGTCTGAGCGAGTCGAGAACGGAGGCGGGCGCCCGGACGTTAATGGCCCGGGATTCGGCGAACGCGGCGATCGAGTCGACCAGCGCGTCACCCGCGCTCGAGGCGGGCGGCGTGATTTCGCGGTCGGTAGCCGCGGCCGGTTCGTTGTTCTTGATGAGCGTCACGCAACCGGGCACCAGGTGCACGGGTTCGTCGGACCGGGCCAGCGCGTCGACGCCGGCTGCGGCGGCCCGGAGCAGACAGTCGACAGTGCCCGGGGCGCCGGCACACCGGGACGCCACCCTGACGGCGTCCAGCGGCGAGGCGTCGGACGCGGTGGCGGCCGACGGTCGGCCTATCAGCGCGACGACGGCGGCGGCGCACAGGCACCCGAACCGTATCCCGGCGACGGGCGGCGACGACTTGGACATGACGTTGAAACGGTACGAAGCGGTTCGATGATGACGACGATGATGACGATGATGATGTTGATGGCGGCGTGATGGCGGGTGATGTCTGGCGTCGTGGCGTTGCCGGGACGGTTTCGGCAGTCGGCGACGGCGTAACGCTACGGTATGCGTCGTACGGTCGAGGCGCGGTCGTATTTATGCGCGGTGGCCGGCAATCGCAGGCGGTACGGCTCG